CCTCCACATTGTCAGCAATCCATTCCTCAACTCCTAAAAGAGTAATTTGGAACCAATTCACAATTGTTATCACTTCTATAAAAATGTCAAGGCTCAGAAATTGCCGAAAGAATTATCATGTACTAATCTGCTCACCCACTTTCCCGCCATCTGACCCCAAAGCGGGGTGCATATTGGGTTGTCCCCTGAACTATTGCCAGTTATGAAGGAATTCATGTTTGTCAGTAGATATATTTGTCTGGGTGGGTTGCAAGAAAATGTGAGAAGCTGCTATCTTACACTGGAAGCTGTGTGAAGGAGATCAAGTATAGAAAATAGAAATAAAAGTATTGAAATCCTCCCAGGCACCACCAACTGCCTTGTCACCATTGTTGTTGTTGTTAGTTGTGAAGTCATGTCCGACCAATCGCGAGCCCATGGACAACGTTCCTCCAGGCCTTCCTGTCCTCTACCATCTTCTGGAGTCCATTAAAGCTCACGCCTACTGCTTTAGTGACTCCATCCAGCCACCTCATTCTCTGTCGTCCCCTTCTTCTATTGTCCTCAATCTTTCCCAGCATCAGGCCCTTCTCCAGTGAGTCCTTCCTTCTCATTAGGTGGCCAAAATATTTGAGTTTCAGCTTCAGGATCTGGCCTTCTAAAGAGCAGTCGGGGTTGATCTCCTCTAGGACTGACCGGTTTGATCGCCTTGCAATCCAGGGGGCTCGCAGGAGTCTTCTCCAGCACCATAGTTCAAAGGCCTCACTTATTTGGCGCTCAGCCTTTCTTATGGTCCAATTTTCACAGCCATACATTGCAACTGGGAAAACTATACCTCAGTTGAATTATGAGACATGGAAATAACATGAGAAAACGCCTATAGTTTACCCTCAGACAGTCTTCTGACCATCATTCCTTGTAACTGTGGCCATTGAACCAGGAGAGAAGAGAGCCAAGTTCCTAACCAGTGTTTTTCAAATTTGACAACTTTTAAGATGTGTGAAATTGAACTCTTAGAATCCCTTAACCGGGTGGTTCTCAACCTGTGGTACTTGCATCCCTGGGGGGTGGGGGGGGCGCAATGTCATCACAGGAAGTCCCGTAAAGGCTTGAAGAAATGTGAAGATTTAAATCTTGAGTTAAGTTTTGGGGCTCCACGACCATGATCCATGGCCACAAAAGGTATTTAAAGTGGGTCAATAGTAAAGAAAAGGTTGAGAACCACTGTCTTAATCAATACTGTTCTAAGGAAGAAACAGGTTCTAAAAATAAAATGGTGGACCTTGGGTAGTGGGGAGGAAGAAGAGCAAAGGTTAGCTTGAGCCTAGCCTCCAAAGCACCTGAAGGCAGGACAAGAAGGAATGGATGGAAACTAATCCAAGAGAGAAGCAACCTAGAACTAAGGAGAAATTTCCTGGCAGAACAATTGATCGGGGGAACAACCTGCCTCCAGAAGCTGTGGGTGCTCCAACAGTGGAAGTTTGAAGAAGAGACTGGACAGCCATTTGTCTGAAATGGTATAGGGTTTTCTGCCTGAGCAGGGGGTTCGACTAGAAGACCTCCAAGATCCCTTCCAACTCGGTTCTGTTCTGTTCTGTTCTTAAAACCAAGAGAAGGGGTTGAGCCAGGCCCAGCCAGAGCTCCCACCTATGAGAAAACAGGCCTGCACTGAAGCAACTGAAAATAAAATGCCAAGTGTACTGTGGTTTCAAATAAACTGAAGCAGAATCATCCATTCGACTCCTGAAAGCAAATCATGGTACAAAATTAGCTAGGTCCAGAGTTAATAAGATCCAGAGAGACAGTTTAATCTAGTGGTTAAGACGCTGGCCTAGGAACCAGGAGAGTGTGAGTCCTAATCCTGCCTGAAGCATTGTTGTTGTGAGGAAAATAGAAGGAGGAAGGAGTGTTAGGTATGAGGGTGAAGGTTCATTCTCTAGCTTGTGGGTTGGACAAGCTCAGAGTATGAACCTTCACCCTCATCCTACACCCGAGCTACAGATACTCGCCACTATTGAAGTGTTAGGTATGTTCGCCATCTTAGTTTTTTTTTGTAAAGGCAGGATAACAAACAAACAAATGAACAACTGTCATTCTGGGGCAAAACACTACATAGAAGTGATCCGGTGTTGTTTGATATACAGCTAATCAAAGAGTTTGTAAACAATTTCTAGCAAGCAACTATGGGGAGTAAAGCGTGTGTCTTAGCAGAAGGATCCAGACTAAATACGACAAATTTATTAGCTGATTGCGGGGACTAAAAGTGAAAAGAGGTTGCTGGGAATTTGCATGGTGAAAAAAATGTACAAAAGCCAACACAACTTGAATACTGGGTTCACACGCCTGTAAAGACTTTTCTCCCACCTACAGCAAACATTATACAAGATGCGGACATAGACGTAGTACGTAAGGCTTGCTTTTATCTGAATTGCTGGTTTACTAATGAATATAAAAATGGTTTCCTATGGTGGATGCGAATTTGTACTACTTTTAAAGGAAGAAATTTCAGTACAGCTCTAGTTAAGACCTCCACCTTAATGGACGATGTGTGGGAGAACAATTCCCTTTCCTGTTGACAGCCCTACACACACAGCTTCTGAAAGCCTGAGCAAAGTGATAAACTAGATTCTTTCTTCCTGAATGCCAATTGATACCAAACTTAAATTCACATATTTGGAAAAAGTAAATAAATAACAATGTACAGTAGTGGCCAAAATTGTGAAAACCTTTTGGGAAAAGTGTATTTTTGAGGTTTGATGGCTAATAACATCACTTGTTTTTTGGAGTAGTACCATAAAATTAGATATCAATGGAAAGATAATTTAATCAAGAATGTAATGCAACATAGTTTGTCCAATTATCTGTACTGCATTCTATGAAAAGTTATAGTCAAATAACCAGAAAAAGGAAGCACAACTTGCTTAGGTTGTTATCAGGGAGCTTTCCTTCATCCGATTGTAGCCAATGAGCATGAGTGTTTAGAGAGCCAATCAGGGATCACCTTGTTTTGGCAATAAGCCAATCAGATCACAGTAGGATTCAGTTATTGATGTCCTGTATTGAAGCTGAGAGGAAGACGTTTGTCAGTGTGTTATGTGATTGCTATCAAGCTGGTTGGGTTTTTTTGTGTTCTTTCCTTCAGTGAGCTTATAAAACGTAATAAAATTAAGGTACTGGTGCAAAGAGTTGACTGGTTGCCCAGAAAGTGAACAAGGCTACAGTTATAAAGAAACTAGAAGAAAAATGGGTGGAAACTTAACCAAAGGTGGCATGTCTACTGTACACTTTTCCCAAAAGGTTTCCACAGTTTTGGCCACTACTGTAACTATCATCATTATTTGATTATTTCTGCAGGAACATCTACAAGTAGGGAGGTTTAAAAGAATCAAGGAGGCACTGACAACCATGCAATTAAAGTCCTGCTCCCTTTTTCTGCACGTAAAAAGGGGGGGCTTCAATCACATGGTTTCAGTTTCCATCTTGACTTTATTTCCCCCCCCCCCACTGAATGTTGTTTAGTGATAGTGGCGAATATCTGTAGCTCAGGTGTAGGATGAGGGTGAAGGTTCATTCTCCGATCTTGTGAGTTGGTTTCCTAACGTTTCCTTACCAAGCTAGGTAACACCTTCAGCGGAACTTGGGGGGGGGATGTCAGTGTCGTTGTTCTTCTGCTTATAAGGGCTTCATGTGGTCAGTGGTCATGTGATGGGTCAGGTGGTCATGTGATGGGTCAGGTGTGGGTCGCGCCAAGTGAGGGTCTTGTGATGGGTCAGGTATGGGTAATGTCAACTGAGGATGGGTCTTGTGATGGGTCAGATGTGGGTAATGTCAAGTGAGGGTCTTGGAATGGGTTTTGGGATGGGAAGGTCACATCAGATGAGGGTCATTGGGAGGTGAAATGCTGATTGGGGGGGTTGCATGGGTTGGTTGAGGGTCAGAGTCGTAGTTGGTTGGCTGTGCGATTGATTTGAATTCTGAAGGGTCCATAAGCTCGTTGTAGGTTGATGTAGGTCTGTTGATACAATTGCTTGTGGAGTGCCTGAATTGTTTTAGATTATTGCAATGCGTGACCCATAGCAAGAGACGAGTCATATTTAATCACTTAAATATGAGCCAGCAGTGTGCTGCAGCTGCCAAAAAGGCCAACACAGTGCTAGGCTGCATTAACAGAGGGATAGAATCAAGATCACGTGAAGTATTAATACCACTCTTCAATGCCTTGGTAAGGCCACACTTGGAATACTGCATCCAGTTTTGGTCACCACGATGTAAAAAAGATGTTGAGACTCTAGAAAGAGTACAGAGAAGAGCAACAAAGATGATTAGGGGACTGGAGGCTAAAACATATAAGGAACGGTTGCTAGAATTGGGTATGTCTAGTTTAACGAAGAGAAGGACAAGGGGGGACATGATAGCAGTATTCCAATATCTCAGGGGCTGCCATAAAGAAGAGGGAATTAAGCTATTTTCCAAAGCACCTGAAGGCAGGACAAGAAGCAACGGGTGGAAACTAATCAAGGAGAGAAGCAACCTAGAACTAAGGAGAAACTTCCTGACAGTTAGAACAATTAATCAGTGGAACAGCTTGCCTCCAGAAGCAGTAAATGCTCCAACACTGGAAGTTTTTAAGAAGAGACTGGACAGTCATTTGTCCGAAATGGTGTAGGGTTTCCTGCCCGAGCAGGGGGTTGGACTAGATGACCTCCAAGGTCCCTTCCAACTTTATTATTATTATTATTATTATTATTATTATTATTATTATTATTATTATTATTATTAGTATTATTATTATTATTATTATTATCTACAAGGTTTGCTGTTATTTTTTTAATTCAAACACCATGGCTTGGATTGTTCTTGTGTTCCACCTGTAGGGTTAGAACTTTTAAAAGAAATGGAAGGAAAAACAAGACTTGTCATATGAATTATAACTGGGTTTTTTTTTAACCTGCCAAACCAATTCTGATTTATTTAAAAACAGGCTTTGTGTTAAGTCCAAATAAAGTTGAAATATTCCTTACCACTGTCAAATGTAATCTTATGTTCCTCCACTCAGGCTTCTTCTAAACATCAGAATTTTGCATACAATCCGTGGGTAGCATCAGGGAATGATTATTCTTTCCAGCTGTTTATGAAGAAATAGCAACAGAATTATAATTTAGTAGAGAAAGACAATTCTTTAAGTGACAATTTACAGCAGAAACTCACACTTGCCTTCTCAGCAGTAGGCCCTGCTATGTTCAAATAGGTTTTAGTCTCAGAATATTAATTCAGTCTTACAGTATTGATTTCAGTATTTTTCACCTGCTTCAGATTGCATTATTCTGTGGTTTCGTTACTGCTTTAAGTAGTCAGATGAAAAGTCTGTGTATGTCATATGCAAACCCTGGTGCCTGTAGCTTTTTGACACTTTGACCAAGTATTACACTATTGTTATCAAGATCACCCAAACTCAATAACCAATTTCACCAAACTACAATTTTAGTTTTATGAGCATGTATGTAAGATGCTTCCGATTCCTGCATATGATTTTAAAAAATCAGCAAAGTGAAATTTAAATGCTAGTTTATATTCCATGTTATATCATTGCAATTCAGGATCCATGTACAGGTAGTTCTCAGCTTACAACATTACGTTTGGTGACCGTTCAAAGTTACAATGGCACCAAAAAAAAAAGACTTAGGACCATTTTTCAAAGTTATGGCTTTTGCGGCATCCCCATGGTCACATGATCAAAATTCAGATGCTTGGCATATTTATGACGGTTGCAATGTCCCCTTTTGTGACCATCTGACCAGCAAAGCCAATGGGGAAGCCAGATTCACTTAACAACTAACTTATCAACTGCAGTGATCCGCTTAACAACCGTGGCAAGAAAGGTGATAAAATGGGGCAAAATTCACCTAACAAATGTCTCACTTAACAACATTGTAGTCATAAATTGAGGACTACCTGTACTCCAGTTTGTGTTGGTCATTCAGATCAACACCAGGCTGGAGAGGGCAGTGCTGAAGCAGACATTCAAGAATAGGGCTTCTCTCGTCCTTTGACAGAGATGCTCCTGGCCCAGGGGTAGACAGACAACCTTGGCTCTTTTATGACTCGTGGACTTCAACTCCCAGAATTCCTGAGCCAGCCTGGCTCAGCTTGGAAACCGATCCCTTTCCCCTCAGCATGGCTGGCTCAGGAATTCTGGGAGTTGAAGTCCACGAGTCAGAAAAGAGCCCAGGTTGCCTAACCCTGGCCTAGGCCTAGGCCGCTTTATGACTCGTGGACTTCAACTCCCAGAATTCCTGAGCCAGCATGGCTCAGCTTGGAAACCTCTCCCTTTCCCCTCAGCGTGGCTGGCTCAGGAATTCTGGGAGTTGAAGTCCACCAGTCATAAAAGAGCCAAGGTTGTCTACCCCTGTAAACCTGGCCAATTTATATCTAATAAATTTTTACAAGTGTTGGGCTTCTCTGAAAGGCCAGGCTCCATGCTGATGCCTCAATGAGAAAGGAAGCCCCTTGTGTGGCATATCTGAAAGTTTAGGGCAGTGGTGGCGAACCTATGGCACAGGTGCCAGAGGCGGCACTCGGAGCCCTCTCTGTGGGCACACGTGCTGTTGCCCCAGCCTTGCCTCCCCCCGTGACCCCCTCCTCTCCAGCAGCACCCCTGAAGGAGAGTAGCTGGAGCGTGGCCCATGCATAGCAGCGCAGCCAAAGACATGGCAGGCAGGCAGCGTAGACAAGACTCTGCCCTCACACCCCATTGTGCACAGTTGATGCTGCAGGGCACAGACAGAGGGTGTGACTGCCATAGCACTGCTGGGCTGCCTGGGTGATTTGTGGCGGACCCTGGAGGCAGCGAGTGGCCCTGCAGGCAGGCGGGGCAAGGGAATGGGGGGGCGGAGTGGGGTCAGGGCAGGGGGCGGAGCAGGGGCAGGACCATTTTTTGGGCACTCGGTCTCTAAAAGGTTCGCCATCACTGGTGTCGGGTTACGTAACATCATATAAAATGTTTTCCCTGATGTACATTTTAAGCTCTGCAGTTAACAACACATAATAGTTTAATAAGTAAATGCAGTTATTTATTTGGACTCTATCTACAGGTAATCCTCGACTTACAACAGTTCACTTAGCAACTTTTCGAAGTTACAACGGCACTGGAAAAAGTGACTTCTGACCGTTTTTCACACATTTATTTATTGGTAAAATTTATATGCCGCCCAATCCCTAGGGACTCAGGGCGGCGTACAAAATTAAAACAACAAGTATAACAATTAAAAATGAATACATTCACACAGCGTGGCCCAATCGAATCCCGCCCCCCCCGGGGACATCAACCCCAGGCCTGCCGGAACAGGAGAGGAACACTTATGACCAATGCAGCATCCCCATGGTCAGGTGATTTACATTCAGATGCTTGACAATTGGTTCATATTTATGACGGTTGCAGCGTTCCGGGGGGGGGGGGGGCTCAGATGATCCCCTTTTGCAACCTTCTGACAAGCAAGGTCCATGGGGAAGCCGGATTCCCTTAACAACCGTGTTCCTAATTTAGCCACTGCAGTGATTCGCTGAACAAATGTGGCAGGAAAAGTCGTAAAGTGGGGCAAAACTCACTTAACCAATTTTTCACTTCGCAACCTAAATTCTGGGCTCAATTGTGGCCATAAATTGAGGACTGCCTATCCTTTCAATGAGCAGGCGGAAAAAAAACTTGGGCATTGAAACAGAATGGAAAGATATTTAGTTCACATTCAAAATAGTAATAATAATAATAATAATAATAATAATAATAATAATAATAATAATAATAATAATACTTCAGAATTCAAACAGAGAAACACCTGCAACATAACACCCCAGACTTAACAATTGTCAATAAGAAAGACAAAAAAGTCTGGATAGTGGACGTGGCAGTGCCTGGAGATAGCAGAATAGAAGAGAAAGAACTGGAGAAGATAACAAAATACAAAGACCTACAAATAGAAATAGAAAGACTGTGGCAAAAGCAAGCAAGGGTAGTACCAATAGTCATAGGCGCCTTGGGTGCAATCCCAAAACAATTGGAGCATCACTTGAACACCATTGGCATTGACAAATTCGCTATTAGTCCATTGCAAAAGGCGGCCTTACTAGGAACTGCTTCCATCCGACGACGATATCTGTAATACCATCAAACATCCACATCTGCCTATCCCAGGTCCTGGGTAAGGACTCGATAGCTAGACAAAATGCCAAATCCAGTCTGAACATCTGGCTGACTGTGCGATAATCAATAATAATAATAATAATAATAGTAGTAGTAGTAGTAGTAGTAGTAGTAGTAGTAGTAGTAGTAGTAGTAGTAATCAGTGTTTTTTTTTTTAAAAAAAGGTGCCAGAACTCACACATGTCATACAACCCGCCTTGCCTATCCTACAAGGTTCCATCCAAAAAAGATGCCGGAACTCCGTTCTGAGCGTTCTATGACAAAAAAGGCCTGATAATAATAATAATAAATATTAACAGAGATGGCTACATTTTAACAGACACCATTGGGCTCTGAATGGGTGGATAGAACATGCTACAAAAAGCGCTTTCGAATTAAGAAAACACGGTTTGAAGAATGGGGGGGGGGAACTAATTGCATTATGTGTAACAATATATAGATTCTTTTTTTTTTTTTAATGAAGGGTAACAGACTGCCAAGTGACATTCATTGGGAATGGCCACATCTGTCTTCCACTGCATGCTTTGTTCATATGCAAATTATGGGCTTGGTGAAAAAAGCTGGATGAGCTCATCCACACCTTAAATTCTGAGACTGTGTTTGGGCTTTTATTTTTCTGGTAACAGCTACTTTCCCTTGGGGAAAAAATTGGTTGGGAAGAGCAAGCCTAAAGTAGGTGGTGCATCACCTCTTCGGGTCCTCTGCTTCTTTCTTTCTTTTTTATAATATTGTATTAGTTTTCTACATTTACAATTCATAAGTGCTTGGTACACGAGTTGTCTGGGTCCGTTTGTTTTACTTAATAATACACATTAAATTCCGAATCTCTACCCTGTTTTTCCAGCCATTGATAAAATACATCCCAGATTTGAAAGTATTCTGTGTCTTCCTTTTCTTTAATCTTCAATGTGAGTCTATTGTCAGAATAAGTCTTCATCCTGGTTCATCCAAGCCGGGGATAAATAAGCAACATGGCGACTGCTTTGGGAAGAAGGTTACAGTTTATTGAAGAAGCAGAAAGATGGTCCTTGCAAGAAAGAGCAGAGAAGAGGAAAGAGGAGTTGAGCACATGGGCAGTAGGCAAACAAGGGTAGTACCAATAGTCATAGGCGCCTTGGGTGCAATCCCAAAACAACCGGAGCACCACTTGAACACCATTGGCATTGACAAATTCGCTATTAGTCAATTGCAAAAGGCGGCCTTACTAGGAACTTTTATACCCCCTCTAGCCTTGTTTGGAATAGTTTCCTGTTCCTGTGGCATGAATGAGACTATTTCTGAGTGTTTTTCTAGGCCTTGATATCAGTGCTTTAATCCTATTATCATATCCTGCTTCCCAGGTGATGGGGCTAAGAGTTTGTGTGGGGTATGCAGATTTTCTCTTTGTCTTCTTGAATTCTCTGGCTTCAACTTTCTGATGGTTTTACATCTGCACTTGTATGGGGCTAGCTCTTGCTTGGGGCAGAGAGATAGATTTGGGGCCAGGTTTGGTTTAAAAAAAAAAAATCCTTTTGAGGAAAAATATATTTTTCTGCCCTTTTAATATTTCCTTCTCTGGCCTAACTTCCCTCACTATCCATTTCTGCACAGTCCAGTATTTTCTTGATTATCTCTTCTTGAGACGCTCTTCTGGTTCTTTCATGGCACCTCTTTTTCTGCTTTCCTATTTCCAGCGTTATTTTCTTTCTCTCTTTTTCATCCTTCAAGTGGGAAAAAAAAATCATGGTGGCCGGGGGGGGGGGTAGTGGAACACTTGGGAATGTGTGTGTGTGTGTATGAAATGAGACAAGGACCAGGCAGAAAAATTGGTGTTTGTTTTTTTTTTGCCATCAGCTTTTTTCTCCAACATACAGGTAGTCCTCAACTTACAACCGCAATTGAGCCCAAGATATCTGTCGCTAAATGAAACATTTGTGAAATTAGTTTTG